AGCAGGGCTTATAGTTTTAAATCGAGACCTCTAATTTCCAGCTTCAGCCATTTCCAGCTTCAGCCGCGACAATAAATGACAGTAGTAACACAATGTTCGATAAGTTTAAAAAACTCGTGACATGCAAAAGTTTATAGCCACGATCTTAACACGTTCTAACCTTATCCTCTCGGCTTATGCCGTCAGTTGAGCTGTCATCAGCGGATTCGACGGTTATTTGAGAGTCACCAATAACGGAATTAGTCAACATTAAGGCAGTTTTTGCAGCAGTTTCTATTGTATAAATGGAGTAATATTTAAGATTATAATAATTAGGTTTGGTTATGGTTATGCCATGCAAAACTAATTGGTTCTCATAACCCGGCCGGTAAAATTCTGGAAATTTTGAAAAAAATTTGTGACTATATTTACTATTCGGATGGTTTTTTTTTGAGAATCTGTAAAAAAATTTTGTCTTTTATATACTTGAAAAAATTAAAAGCCGGACTGTCGGGTCATTTTTTAAAATTTTGAGTACCAAAAATTAACTTTGTATGGCCTTATATATACCGCGTTCAAATGTAACATAGGCAATTTGTTTATCGTTACTTTCTTCCCTATGTAAATGAATCGAACATATAATTAGATAATATCAGGATGATCCAAGATAAAATTAAGAAACAAACTTTAAAAGTTTAAATTCTTTAATTTTTCCGCAGAACAAAAAAAAATCCTTAACTAATTTGCGTAACATAAATGCAAGTAAAGGTTTGTAAGTATTGTAAATACTGATATCCTTAATAGCAAACATTTCTTTGGAACAAACCATTTTTTTCGGAAGCAGATGCTGAAACATTATACACAATAATTCTCTTAGACATGTTTATTATACGATTACGACAGACAGTAAAAAAAAATTCATCTGATTTTTTTTTTTTTTGGATAGTAAAAATTCCGAAGAGACAATCTATATACGTACTAAAATTTCTGGAGTAATGCACTTAGACGGCCATTACAGATTTATTGTAACATTCGTGCATATTGTGTGAGTCTAATGTTTTTCATATTTCATGCCATATAGCCCTCTTTCAACGACTGGTTCCTATATACGAGATGTCTATCTTTGCATGTTTAAACATATTTGTTTTTACCACCTAGCTCGTCACATAACGTCGAGTCCTACACGTAATAGCTTAGAATTTTTTTTGTTATTTAGAAGATGTGATAATTTTTGAGGATAGATACTGATAGTGTAATTTTAAACTGATACATTATCGAATCGATTAAACTCGTGAAAATAGTATGAAATTATGTAAGATGTTATGGCGAAAAGCATTGCACTGCATGACACATTTATGGTATTTTGGATATGCCGGCGGATTACTTGAACCGGTGATGATTTTTTATTTAAAGTTATCAAACACATGATAGAGAAGCGAGTTAGTATACTTCTCAACAAACATGCATAGTTCTTGACCCACCTGATCCCATTATTCTTGTAATAATAATGCACCGCGTTTTTGACTCATGTAGCTAGCGTACCAATACATACTTTTTTTGCTTGTACCTATGTACTATAAAATATATAAATTATATATAAAATCTTCAAATAGTAAATATAAAGATATATACTATATTTTAAACTTTTCTTACTAAGTAAACTTTTTTTAAAGTTCTAAATAAAGTTGTAGTGCTTACTTAAAGCTATTTAATAATAGTAAAACTAGTAAAATTAGTTTACTAGTTTTTAAAATAGTATTAAAAAAAATTTATAATTATATAAAATATTACAGTTAGACCTCTCTAAATGCAACCCTGAGGTATTTTATATACTAATTAATCAAATCTATGTAAGGAATCGTAGTAAAAATTAATAGTGCAGATTTTATGCAAAATCGATATTTTACTCTCAAAACATTAGTAGATTAAAAATCGATTCACCTCACGTACTAATAATTTTTTTCTGCCAATTTTTTATATCAAATAATTATTATAATATTGTAAAAAAAAGTTACAATTTTAAATTTTATTTGTAAAGTTTAATTTATAGTAAAATTCAATTTTTGTTAAAATTTTATATGAAATATTTGAAAAATCTTTAATGAATTAAAATTTTAAAACTGTAACTTTTTTTTACATTAATCATTTGATATAAAAATTTGCAAAAAATTATTAGTACGCGAGATAAATTAATTTTTAATCTACTAATGTTTTAATAGTAAAATATCGATTTTGCCGATCTATGTATAAAATCTGTACTATCAATTTTTACTTTGACTCCTTATAGATTTGATTAATTAATATATGAAATACTCTAATACAACCTCTAAATGCAGCACCTCTCTAAATACACTATAGAAGGCCAGCCCCACAATGGAACTTATAGACAAATGTATGTTTTTATTTTGTTAGTGCATGTGGTTGTTTGGCTTATTAAAAAACTTTTTTTATAAATATATTACGTAATTAATAACCAATCAAGTTTATTATTTCTAT